TGTTAGCATCTCAGAGCCCTGGAGCTGAACCCTGAGAGCTACCCCCATCCAATCCCCATGCTTTATAGATAATAAAGTGACACCTTTAGGAACGAGACCAGGAAGAGCACTCAGGTCCCCAGATTCCCCTTCAGTGGCTCTCTCCACATGGATGCCTCACCAGTTACAGTGGACAGCACAGAGCCCGCCATCCTGTGAATGTGACTGAGTGATGCCGTGAGGGTTTGTGCCCGGGAACTTAGCCTTCTCCCCACTTTACTGCTCCCTGTGCCCTCCACGGCTTCCCCCACCGTCGTGGTGATTCACATCCTGAAAGGACAACGTGTTCTCTTCAAACTTGGAGATTTCCCCGAGTACTCCCCCTAGAGCCTTTGTGGAAAATAGAAAATGACTTTGTAAGAAATTTGTCAGAGGTCCTGTATGGATCATTTGGGGATTTCGTTTGGAAAATTGTGCATCTCTTTCTGCTTTTGCTTTCTTGGCTTTCTGCTGCGGGGAAACATTCCCTGTCCCAGTTATGGGTGATTAATAGGACCTGGTCCAGGCCTTGGGTTCCAGCAGGGTTGCAGACTTTCTCAGAAGCACAAATAAAGGCAGGAAAGGCTCCTTTCATGTCCCACCTAAAGCAGACTCCTAGCAGAGTCGCATTTTGGCGTTGGGAAAAGGTTTGATAGTGGTAGCGGGTGTGTTTCCCTATTGTACAGTGGTCTGAAAACCAAAGAAAGTGATAAATAAACCTTGTGTCAGACAAGGAAAGGAGGTGGTGGATTTTTAAGTCGCCAGCTCTCCTAAATGCAGATTTCAAGCAGGGAGCTCTGGTGGTTCACCAGCCTCTCCTCCTCGTCCTCCTGCAGCCTACGGGAGATACGACTGACCGGCCAGCACACTCTGGTCCCCGGGGCCATCGCTCCCCTGAGCCCAGGCACTGGCTGGGAAGGACAGACAGGCCTCTTGCCTTGGTGGGTTTCAAACCACCTGCCTTGAAGTGCAAATGGCAGGTGTTGGCTCCTCTGTGTCTTTCAGAGCCTCCGCCTGGCTCTTTTATGAGATTACAGGCACTTTCATCTCAGCTTTGGCCCCATTTTCCTCCTTCTCAGCAAGGCTCCAAAGACGGGCAGCGAGGCTAGAACAAGGAGAGGAGGCTCATTCTGGGCCGTGTCCCCGCTGGGCAGGGCGACCTGGCTTGCGCATCCTCCAGCCACGTCCCTTTGAGCCGCGGAGGCTGAGCAGGGAGCCCCAGGGACCAGGTTAAGAGGGGTCCTTCTCCCTTGGCGCCTGGAGGAAGTTGCATTGCATCCTGGGAAGGCTCTAATCATCCCTTTGCTTTGTGCTGTTCACTTCAATGCAGTGGAGAGGGGCTCCGGTGCTTTTCTTTCTTTCTCTTTCTCTTTCTCTTTTAAACCTAGAGGTACTTTTTTTGAGGCTCGGGGCTGAGAACACAACCCGTCTCTTACACTTTTGCTTTATGTGCATGCCTGCACACACACACCCTTCTTCTTTGCTGTATTTGCTCATAATCTTGCTCATCAGGTTTCCTTTCCCTTAAAAGCCCAACCAGGGTTTCCTTCCCTTACTGCTGTCAATAAAAGGAAGGGGAGCTTCTGCCCTCCCCTCAACCCTGATTTCTTCCTTCTGTCCATCCGTCCTCTCATTTAACCATTCCTTACGGAGATTTCCCTCTGTGCTGGCTGCTGTCCCTAGGAACTGGGAAAGCAGCAAAGAACAAAGCGAAGTCCTTGCTTTTAATGTTTGCGTTCCTTCTGATCTGCTCTCTCCACTCCCTGCTCCCCTCCAGCCTCATCTCCCACCACAGGTCCCCTGACCTCCCGCCACCCAAATCCATGCCTTTCCCTGACCCAGCCTGCCTTTCGTGCCTCGGTGCTTTTGCTCCCGCGTCTCCCCTGGTTCCGGGGGCCCTTCCTTTTCCAGATCCCCATCCACAGCTTCACCTGGCTCAGCCCTTGTCTCCGTGAAGCCTTCCAGCACCTCTGCCCTGACCCCAGCACCTCCCTTCTCTGTGCACTCAGAGCACTCATCCCACGCACCACTCTGTGACCTGTTTCTCAGGGCTCCCAGCCTTGGGCTCGCGTTGGGGTCACTACGCATGAGGCTTTGTCCCCACCCAGTGTGGTGGGGCCTCCAGGCCCTGATCACCTCCTGTCCCCTAACTACTCCTGGGAGTCCTCAGGGAACATCGCAGGGATGCTTCACTCTGAGGAGCCGCCACGAACCCTCCTCCTGTTCTTGCTCTTGTGAGGCCTCACAGAGTCTGACAGAGCACCCAAACCACCAGCGCCCCCACCCGCACTGTGCCCACGCCCGCAGTGGACTCTGCCGTGACCAGAAGGCTACAGCCCCCACCCTGTCATGTTCCGTTCCATCATGAGACCCTGGCAGGGCTGCTTCACACAGAGGTTTTTCTTGAGACAACGCTGTCAGTTTTTACTTGTCCCCTCCTCTCAGAATTAGACATGGATCCTTGGGCTCTGGGCCAGAGGATGATCTGACGAAGATCAGGCACCAGGCCGCAGTCAAAATTGCATTTCCTTCTGATGACTAAGGCAAGTTCTCGAGTCAGGGTATGCGCCTTCCCTAAGGACACATTACTTCCCAAACAACCCTTAAGGCTTAGAATTCAAAAATTTATTGGCAGGCCTGTCCTGCCAGAATTCCAAATGTGTCCTGACATGTTTGAATCCTAAAATAAAGAACACAGGTGGAGGAGGCACGCACACCACCATTGTACTTTCCTTGCCCAGAGCAGACATCAGTAATCAATTACAGTTCAGTTTTTGCCTTGTGAAGCCATTAGGATTCTTCCCAAATACGTGACTCTAAAGGCACTGCAAACCATACCTCCACTCTGAAGGCTTTCTGGATCCCCTCAATGGAAATGATCCCATCTCTTCTTTTCTTTAGCCTTGCACAACTCTCAGGATTGTGCTGCCCTTGCCTGGGCCCATTCAGGCTGTAATAATAAAAGTGATGGCTAACGTCTACTAAGCTCTCTTTTTTTTTTAATTGAGTTGATGTACAATATTATGTAGGTTTCAAGTGTACAGCATGGTGATTCACAATTTTTAAATATTGGCTATGTCCCTGTGTGGTGCAGTATGTCCTTGTAGCTTATTTATTTAATACTTAGTAGTTTGTACCTCTCAATCCCCTACCCCCATCTTGCTCCTCCCCCCTTCCCTCTCTCCACTGATAACCACTAGCTTGTCCTCTACATCTGTGAGCCTGCTTTTGTTTTGTTATATTCACTAGTTTGTTGTATTTTTTAGATTTCACATATAAGTGATATTACACAGTGCTGGTCTTCCTCTGTTTGACTTACTTCATTAAGCATAATACTTCCAACATCTATCCATGTTGTTACAAATGGCAAAATGTTGTTATTTTTTATAGCTGAGTAGTATTCCATTGTGTGTATATAAATATATATATACACAGACATATACATATATACCACATCTTCTTTATCCAGTCATCTGTTGATGGACATTTAGGTTGCTTCCATGTCTTGGCTATTGTAAATAATGCTGCTGTGAACATTGGGGTAACTGTATCTTTTTGAATAAGTGTTTTTGTTTTTCTCAGATACAGACCCAGGGGTGGAATTGCTGGGTCATGTGGTAGTTCTGTTTTTTTGTTGTTGTTGTTTCTTCTATTGAGGTTGCTGTACAATAGTATATGTTAACAAGTGTACAGTATAGTGACTCACAATTTTTAAAGTTTATGCTTGATTTATAGTTATTATAAAACTTTGGCTGTATCCCCCATGTTGTACAATATGTCATTGTAGCTTATTTTATACCTAATAGTTTGTACTCTTAATCCATTACCTATTTTTAGTTTTATGAGAAACCTCCGTACTGTTTTCCACAGTGGCTGCCCCAGTTTATATTCCCACCGACAGTGAATGAGGGTTCCCTTTTCCCCACAACCTCACCAACATTAGTTATTTGTTCTTTTTGAGCATAGCCATTCTGTCAGGTGTGAGGTGATGTCTCACTGTGCTTTTAATTTGCATTTCTCTGATGATTAATGATGTTGAGCATCTTTTCATGTACCTGTTGGCCATCTGTATGTCTTCTTTGGAAAAAAGTGTATTCAGGTTTTCTCTCCACTTTTTAATTGGGTTGTTTGAGGGATTTTGTGTGTGTGTGTGTGTGTTGAGTTGTCTAAGCTGTTTATATACTTTGGATATTAACCCCTTATCAGCCATATCATTTGCAAATGTTTTCTCCTATCTAGTAGGTTGTCTTTTTGTTTTGCCAGTGGTTTCCTTTACTGTGCAAAAGCTTTTAAGCTTAATTAGGTCCCATTTGTTTATTTTCCCTTTTGTTTCCTTTGCTTTAGGAGACAGATCCAAAAGAATATTACTCAGTTTATGTCAGAGGGTTGTCTGCCTACATTTTCTTCTAGGAGTTTTATGGTTTCCGATCTTACATTTAGGTGTTACATCTGTTTTGATTTTATTTTTGTATATAGTGTTAGAGAATGTTCTAACTTCATTGTTTTACAGGTAGCTGTCCAGTTTTCCCAGCACCACTTATTGAAGAGACTGTCTTTTCCCCATTGTATGTTCTTGCCTCCTTTGTCATAGATTAATTGACCATAAGTGCGTCAGTTTATTTCTGGACTTTCTATCCTGTTCCATTGATCTACGTGTCTCTTTTTGTGCCAGTACCATACTGTTATGATTACTGTAGCTTTACAGTAATCTACTGAGCTCTTGCCTTGACTCAGGCACTGTTCTAAACAACTCTTCTTCAACTCATTTAATCCTCACACTCGTATGAAGTAAGTGCCACCACCCTCCCCATTTTGCAGATGAGGCAACTGAGACACAGGAATGACACAGTTCCCAAGTCAGAAACTGTGTCCTGCCCACCTTTGTCATTTCAGTGTTTCAACCAACATTTTTATTAGGCATCCCTGCATACCAGGCACTGACATCGGCCCCGAGGACAAAAGCAGAACCTAACGTGATTAAGAAATTGTTAATTTTGAGCACAGTTCTCACGGAGAGACAGGAGGCCGGGAGCTAAATTCAGGAACATGGGAGCTGAATTGGAGACTGAGGGAGTATGTTCATTCAAGGTGTTTAAAATGAATGAACGAGAGAGGAAAGAACAAAGCTGAAGGCTGACTAATGTCTTTTATTCCCTGACAGCCCTTGCTGTTCTTGTAGAAGCCAGCTCTTCCTGCTCCAACACCCGCAAGCTCAGTGGATGGCATCCAAATGTGTGAAAGAGCCGAAGCTACCTGGGGTGTGGGTGGGTGCCAGCGGAGGGTGCGGCTCGTCTTCACAGCCCTCTAGGCCTCTTCCGCCCCGCACGGGATGTCAGAGCCACTGCTGTCCACTCTCTCTGTTGCAGTCCTGGCTGCAGGGTCATCACCAGGCCCCTCCAGGACTGGCTGTCAGCTGGTCCAGACCCCAGAACATCCCTGGCAAATTCAGCAATGCTGTTTTGCTACCTTGGAAACAAGAACATCAGTCCTGGCATCTGCCTCCTCACCACCTCCACCGCCCCCAGCCTCTAACCTGTCCCGTCTCTCCTTGCCTCCCGCCTCACCTCCTCTGTTACACCCAGATCCCTTCTCACCTGATCCTCAGCAGATGCTGCGGTGTGTTCAGGCCTCTGTGTCTCAGCCCAGACCAGGGGTCAGCCAGCCTTTTCTGTAGAGGGGCAGGTAGTCAGTGTTTTAGGCTGTGCAGACCAAAAGCTCTCTGTTGCAACTACTCAACTCCACCGTGGAAGCATAAAAGCAAACATGGGCCTGGCTGTCTGTGTCCCAGTAAAGCTTTATTTGTAAAAGCAAGAGGTAGAGCATAGTTTGCCAACCCCTGGCCCAAACTGTCCTCCCATCTGGAACATCCTTCTGCCTCGTTTTGTAGCATCCATGCTTCCCTTTTTTTCAAGGTTCAGCTGTAGTCCCATATAGCCAGGAAAGCCCCCCTCCCCGCCACCAAGTTCTTTTCCTTATCACCTGTGACACCTTTGCATCTATAACTTACCTCTCCCTACTTAGGTGGTTAGCTTCTTGGGATGTACATCTCAAATGTCCTCAATTGTGCCATTAGATGGAGGAGTCTGCTGGGTTCATAATCAGTACACAGCGTATGATCAACAGTTTCAAAGATTTGCGGGATTGCGGCGTGCGAGCAAGCTACTGGCCCTCTGTCTGTTTCTCCTGGTACAACGCATGGAGGACAGCTTGGCACTTACTCATTCTGCGTGTATTTATTGAGTACTCACTACCTACTAGGCACTCCTTTTTCTTTTTAATAAGTCATGTGCTAGCTTCAAGCTCTTACTAGCATGAATGTGTGATGATGTCTTGCTTGGAAATCACTGGGTGAAGAAATGAAAGTAATTCTCAGAGATGAGAGGATGGCAGTAATTACTAGTTGATCTGCATCTTCCAATTTTTAAGGCACTTCTACACCTGTTATCCCATTTAGTCATAGTAACAAACCTCAGAGGTAAATGGTGTTATCCCATTTTACAGATGAGAAGACTGGATTCAGAGGTTTATGGCCCCTCTCGCTCCAAGTCACACAGCTTCTAAGAACTGGAGCTTGACTCCAAAACTCTTTCAACCATGGCTAAAATAAAACCACCCCTCTGGTTCTAAAGATAACAATATGGGTTATTATAGAAGTTCTTGAAAATAAATACTAACTACTATATGTAAAATAGGTATACAACAGATTTCTTCTGTACAGCACAGGGAACTATATCCAAAATCTTGTAGTAACCTATAATGAAAAAGAATATGAAAAGGAACATATATATGTATATGAATGACTGAAGCATTATGCTGTACACCAGAAATTGACACCACATTGTAGACTGACTGTACTTCAAAACAAAAATAAATTAAAAAATAAAACAGGCTGCAAAAAGGAAAAGAAATGAAACTCAGAACTGGAGCAGTTTGAAATATAGAGAATAAAGACTGAAAACCAGAAAAAAACTTGTTGAAAATATATAGAGCAGAAAATAAAAATCATGAATAATTCCAAAGCCCAGAGGTAGCCAGCGTTAACATCATCTGCATGTTTTTACAAATGTTTGTGGTTTACACGAAATTGGTGTTCTATCGTATATACTAACAGGTAGCTGCAGATTTTTTGGCTTTTATTTAAAAAATTAAGGTACTTGGCATACAGTGATATTCATGCCTTTTAGTGAACAGTTCTGTGAGTTTTCGTAAACCCATGTAGTTGAGTAACCATCACCAAAATCAAGATATAGAACAATTCTATCACCCACCCCCCAAAAATTCCCTTGTGCTCCCCCCGCCCCAGCCCCTGCAAACCACTGGTTTTTCTCTAATTTTGCCTGTTCCAGACATCACATAAATGGCGTCCTACAGTACATTGTAGCTTCATTTTTACTTAACATTTTATGAATATGTTCCCACGTCCTTATATATTCTTCAAAAGTATTATTTTTTAATGACTCCCAGGCACTCCCCCTCCTACGCGCTCTTCAGCGCCACAGCAGCCCCTCAGAGAATAGAAATGAGAGGCAGAAGGTCGTGTTGGAAAGAACAAGGGCAGACTGGGTCTGCTTAACAGTTGTCGCCCTTGATAGGAGGTGCCGGCTTCTCTGTCTACGGGCCGAGGTGGCCGAGCTCCACGCAGGCTCCCCGGACAATACCGAACACGGTATATGACACCAAGTTTGCATCCAGCTCTGCCTTTAGAGTTTAGGCCTGGCACCTTCAGTTCTTGGCTTCAGATCCAGAGTTCCCTGAGGGAAGTGGAGGTAAAAATGTGCCCCGCACTAGGCCGTCGTGGCATGTGTGTGTGTAAGTGAGGACACTGCGCCCTCCAGCGCAGGCTGCTTTCCCCACAACCTCCTCTGCCCCTCCCCTGATGTCTGGATCCACCTTCCCTCAAAGGAGAACTGAGTTAATGTTAGCAAGAAGTGTTGAAGACAGGCTGTCACCTTGTTGAAGCTGCCTCCCTACCGTCATCGGAAGGATGGAGAAAGAGTTGAAGAAAGGGAGCACTTCCTAAAGAACAAACAACCGTCAGAATCCGGATGCACTGGGGAACAAATAAACAAGGGCCTGCGGAACCCGCCCCGAACATGCAGGACACGCTCCTCAGTGCAGGAGAGGAGCAGGGCTGGGGTGACACTTGTAGCTCTGAGAACCTGAGTGGCTCAAGGCCTTTCCTGCCTTCCTTTTGGGTGTTAGAGTTTCAGCAGTTTCTTCCCTGTCCCAACCTGGCAACTTCTTCTCCTGCCTCCCGGATCCTGCTTAGACCTCCCAGCAAAGCAGTCAGTATCCTAGCATGTTGCTATGGAAAGAATGGCAACATCCCTTGCGAGCTCTTGAATAAAAAAAAAAGAGAGAGAGAGAAAAGAAAAGGAAAAAAAAAAATAGGACAAGCAGGATTTTTTTTTCAAGTGTTACGAAACTGGAAGAAAAACTGTTCCACCACTAAATATATCCACTTACCCAATCAGCAGGTGTTAGGGCTCACACAGCCTCAGTCTCTCAGTCCTGCAGAAAACTCTTTGCAGACCGTTTTCACAGCCATCGCTCCCACGGAACTCGGAGAGGCTGCTTGAGATTTCTAGGATGGTGGCTGCACCTTCCGTGTTGGCCAAATGGACGATGTGGCAGTCGTTTCAAGGGGCACCTTTGAATAACTGGACTGTTTTGTTTATTTGTTTTAAAGCCCTGCCTCCTGTTCCCTCTCCCCTCCCTCTTCCAGTGTCACGTCACCCCAGCTTGAACTCCCTTGGGTTCCTTCAAAAACCCAAGCCTTGGAACTCAGTTTGAACCCCAGTTCTGCCTTGGACTAGCTCTGGTCCTTGAGCATGTTATCCTGAGTTCTCTGTGAGCGTCTGAGCTGCACTTTCCATATTTGTAAAACACCTACTTTCAAGATTTTGTGAAGTTTAGCAGTAACAGTGAAGCTCCGAGCACAGCGGCCAGCACAGAGCTCTCAGTAGCAGTGCTGTGTAGCAGAAAGAGCTTCTCTTGCCTTCAAGTCACTCTGCCACCTGCCCCGGGGGCTGTTGGGGGCTGCCGAGGGGGTGGGGTGTGTCTCTCATCCTGCTGGCAGAGCCAGCCCGGCGGCCCATCAGGCGTGGAGCCCCCTCAACCTCAGGCCTTCCTCAGTGTCCTTCATTCATGCTTACTGTGACTTGTCGGTCTTCACGTCAAGGTGTAGGCATCTTCTCACACTCTTGGTTGTAATCTTGGGTCTGCCTCTGTGCTGGTGAACTATTGCTGCCTAAAAACTGCACCAAAACCCAGGGATTTCCAACAGAAATCTATTATATCTCACAGTTCTGTGAGTGAGAAGTTCAAACAGAGTGTAACATTTTGGGCTTGTCTCTGTTCCATGCCGTCTGGGAGCCGCGGCCCAGATGACTTGAAATGATGGGGCTAGAACAGCTGGGGACTGGCTGAATGTCTCTCTTTCTCTGCTTTGGGTGGTGTATGAGTTGCCTTGGGCTGCCATTACCAAAGTGGGTGGCTCAAAACAACAGAAACTTGTTGTCTCCCAGTTGTGGAGGCCAGAAGTCTAAATCCGGGTATTGGCGAGGCCATGCTGTCTCTGAAGGCACAGACCTGTCTCCTGGTTTCTGCTAGCCTCGGGCATGACTCGGCTTGTCCATAGTCATCTTTTCCCTGCACCACTTCATGTCATCTTCCCTCGCACAGTGCCAATCTATCTCTGCATCCCAATTTCCTCTTTTTATAAAAACACCAGTCGTACTGAAGAGGGGTCCACCCTAATGAGCTCATTTTTTCCTTGATTACCTTAGTGAAGACCCTGTTTCCAAGCCCACTCTCGTGCTAAGGTATTTGGGGTTAGGACTTCAACTTATATTTTGGGAAGAGATGAAAATCAACACATAGCAGCTGGTGAGCAGAGATGGACTGGGGCCAAAGCCTGGCCTCATACCATCCTACTTGCAGGAAGCCAGGTGATCATCTTGGCTTGGGACAAGTTGGCTTTGCAAAAAAGATAGGATGCCCTATTATTATTGTTACCGCTGTTGCCATTGGTACTTTCCTTCTCTTGTTGGTTAGCATCCATGGATTACCTTCTGTTTACCAAGTTGTATTACGCTTTTCTTCGATGGATCATATTATTTGATTCTCACGACAACCTTCTGAGGAATAATCTGTTATTAAACTGAAATATCCTTTTGCCTCTGAACTGCTCTCTCCCACAGACAAGATGTTGTTTGTTTGTTTTCTGTATTTTTTTTTATTGAAGTATAGTCAGTTTACAATGTTGTGTCAGTTTCTGGTGCACAGCACAATGCTTCAGTCATACATGAATATACATATATTCATTTTCATATTCTTTCTCACTGTAACTCTACAA